ACGTTAAAAATGAATGAGTCTGTTAAAACAGCGTGCGGGTGTGAGTACACTCTAAAAAATTTCCGTATCCTGGGAAACGGAAAACGGCTCGGAAACCCTCTCGAGAACCGTTTTGGGTTTCCGAGAGGGTTTCCGAGCTTCTGTAGCGTTTCCAACAGTACTTTATTGGTTTCCGAGACCTCGAAAACAGATAGGTTTTCGAGAGTACCAAATTTGATGCGCGTAGGGTATCCTAGAATACCTTTTTATCTTTGTCGAAAACCGAATTAGTATTTACGGAAACCCATAGGGTATTCTAGGAAACGGATTCTTTCCTAAAAGTTGTTTGGGTATCCGAAAAGGTATCCGAGGATACCATCTTGGTTTCCGTAATATCTTATAGGAAACCTAAAAAGTTTCCGAGCCTTCGGAAACCCTAACCAGTATCCGAGAATACCTTTTTGGGTTTTCGAATAATTTTCTCGGAAACCTAAAGGGTTTCCGAACTTTCTGAGATTAGAAACCGTATAGTGGGAAGGTACAATCAGTTTTCAAATTCTACTCAATAACAGAATAGTTTCTAGGGTTTGAAACTTTGATAATCAGTTTTGAAAAATATTTTCGAGTGAAAAAAATTTTCTAACAATAAAATTCATGGTTCAAATCCATGTTTAGCTCACGTTTTTGTTCTTTATTTTAGCAACTATTAGAGAGTTAAAAGCACTTAAAGCTTTCATGCAATATATTTGATTATGTATGTGCAATCAAAAGGCTTCAGATATTGATTTTAGCCTCACTTTTTTTACTTATACATTAGTTTGAGACTATAAAGAAACCTTAAGTTTTATTAATCTATATATACATGGTGACAATTTAATCTTTATATTTTTTTGCCAAGTGCTGATACGTTAGTTTGAGTGTTATATAATTTTAATTGTTAATCGAATTCAATAGAATGAGGATTAAATTGACGTTTTTGCTTGCCAAAATTTAGAGACTGAAATATTTTGATTTGAATTTCATTGAAACAACAATAGTTCTTTCTTTTTCTGTTTGCGTAAAAAAGCAATGAATCATCATTCAACAATAAATTCTTTTATCCATATTTTCCGTACCATTATTACATAGCCTAACAAAAAAAAGGATTATGCCTCTAATACGTAGATTCATAGTGCTATGTTTACATTCTCATATTGTTTACTTCAAATGAAATTGACTGTGTCGTCTTCGCATCTTGATTGGTTAGAAATTACATCTGTTCGAGTTAAATAGAATGTTTCGCATTATTCAATAAAGATTCGTTTATGAAAAATAAATAAAATGTTGTTCATTACATATAATTGATTGTTAGTCGTATATTGTTCATCAGTATTTATCTGAATACTAACTATTTCAAAAATTATAAAAAATGCTTCAATATTAATGAAAGATACTAAAAGTATTCAGTATCTCTACAGGCATTAAATAAGGGATTCAGCATAATGTGTTTGCATCTCAGTTCAGCTGCATGTGGTTTTCAGAAAACATCCACACTATTCTTGCATTACAAAATAGTTTTCAAATTCTACTTTATAGGAACACTCACACTTGAAAATTCTCACACATTTTAATGGCTCATTTAGAATGTGATGCATATGCATTGTAAATATAAGAGATACAATATAGTAAATTTTTTATTACAGATGAATTCTACCGATCCCCTCAAGTGGAAGATACACGACGTATGCATTTGGTTAAATACTTTTATTTTTGATAATGAAGTCATTAAAGAATTTCAAAGTAAGCCGTATAAAGCGTATAATTATCTTTAGCTTTGATCTTTGACATTTACTCGATTTTTGATATAATATATATGATTGTGTTCTTTTGTTATAAGATTAAATAATTGCATTCTTTTATTATGACTACTAAAGATTTTGAATGTGGTTTTTGTAAATCCACTCGATCGTTTAATAAATTTTTTGATTATTTTCGTCATATTACGCTGTATCATGCCAGTGAACCGAATTTTCAATTAACATGTCAAATATTAGACTCTTGCGGTGTAACATATAAAACTTTTACATCATACAAGATGCATATACATCGACATCATAAACTGCTACTTAATCCATCATTACAACAAGAAGAAAATAATGTTACAGATGAAATCAATGCATTAGTAATTCAGCAACCTGATATAGCAACAACGAATACATTTATATGCGGAAATCAAGATGATGCTAATGCTATGGATTTAGATATTAATTTTGAAGATTTTACCGATGATTGGGAAATGCCTATCCCGAATAATTCTTATGCTGATAACAATATTGATCTTTCCGTAATACATCGACAATATATTAAATTTCTCCTAGAAATGAGAGAACAACATATTTTGCCACAAATGGTTATACAATCAATTACCACTCATATTGTTAATCTATTAGATAGTGTGATGGAACTTATTGTTGAACAAGCAAAACAAGAAAACGTAGTACAACAGCAGACAACAGCAACAATATCAATTGATAATATGCGTAAAACAATGAAACAGATTGAAGAATCAATTATTGTTTCAACCCGAAATGAATATCAATTCTTGCAATCATGTAAACAATTTTTTGATTATTCACCACCAATTGAAAAAATTCTTTCATCAAATCAGACAAAAAAAGAATATTCATATTATATATCAATTAAAGACTCACTAAAAAAACTTTTAGAAAAAGATGAAATGCTATCTATTTTGCTCGAAAATATTCAAAATCACTCTGCAATAACACGTAGAGATTCTGATTTGATGTTTTCGTTTCGAAACGGAAGTCGAGGTGAAAATATAAATAAGAAAACATTTTTGATTCAACTGTATGTTGATGGGATTGGTGTAACCAATCCCATCGGACCTAAAAAAGATCAACATAAATTAACAGTTATTTATTTTACATTAGAAGATATACCGGAATTATTCCGATCTATATTACAATGTATAAATTTGGTAACTATTTGTTATACGAAGTACTTGAATGATGACACAAAAATTAAAAAGATTTATGAACCTATTATTAATGACTTGAATGATTTACAATCAACTGGTTTAATTATTAACACATTTAATAGTCAAATATTGTTTACATTTACAAATGTGGCCGGTGATAACTTAGCTCTTCACGAACTTGGAGGTTTTCAACAAAGCTTCAATTCTGGATATATATGCAGAAGATGTTTAATAACATATGGAAATCGTTTAATACCATTAACTGATATTTATTTTATTCAAAGAACTGAAGCTCAACATCAGAGAGTTTTAAAATCACTTGAAAATAATCCACAGGTAAAATCTATATTTGGCGTGAGTGGACCAAGTGCATTAAATGATTTACATAATTTCAATTCTACTCTTTCATTACCAGCTGACTGCATGCACGATTTTTTTGAAGGTAACTATTAAAATAAAAGAAAAAAAAGATTGTGTTTATAGATTTTTGTTCATTTTGTTCTTGTTATTTTAGGTGTCTGTCCGTTGATTATCATGGCTATGCTAAAGGAAGCATCACGTTCACGATTAATTACATTTGGTGCTATTCAAACTAGAACAGAAAATTTTGTTTATGGTGAATTAGATGGATCAAACAAACCACCTTCAATACAAGTCAAACATCTTACGAACGAAAGAATCACAGGAACAGCAGCACAAAAATATTGTCTCTTCCGGTTATTTCCAATCATTTTTTCAGATATAGTGGAGCATTTGGAATTATTTAAAATTTATCTTGTTTTACGTGAATTATTAGATATGATATTAGCTGTACCTCAAAGAAAAAGTTGGATACCTTATATGGAGACTCTATCAATTAATTTTCAGTCTATGATGATAGAAATGTTACCTGAGAAAATAATCCCCAAGATTCACTTTGTTACAGAATATACAAGAGTCATAGAAGAAAATGGTCCTCCAGTAAAGTATTGGTGCATGAGATTCGAAGGTGCACACTTATATTTTAAGAAAGTTGCTATGCAATCATACAATTTTAAGAATATTCCTAAAACACGGGCAAAACGATATCAATTGCGACAATGCTTTTTATTATCTAAAGAAAAATTTCTTAGAACGTTTGATGAAGGTAGTGGTGGCCGAATGGTATATATGAACCAAATAGAATCAAAAATAAAAAATCTTCTTAATCGACGATATGGACAACAAGTAACTGATTCTAATCAAGCTTTGATGCAATACTCTCAATTGATTCATAATCATATTATTTATAAGCAAAATGCAGTTTATGTTTACGATTTAGCACATGTTGAAGAAATTCCATTATTTTTTCAAATAATTTATATATTAAAATTAAATCATCAATGGTTATTTATTGTTGACTTTTTGAATACTGAGAGTTTCATTTCGAAATTATGGAGTTATAAAGTTAGCTCATCTGGCCGACTCGAAATTATTTCACCATTTGATTTACAGTTTTACCACAAAGGACTTGATTTATACGAAGTTAATCATATTCATGTTGTTAATTTAGCATCAAGATTAACCAAAGAAAATTGATGCTGTGAGAACATGAAATAGATTATAAGTCTTCTCTTTTTTTTTGATGCAATCGTGTATTTTCATATGTCACCTTTCGTTTATGGATAAAACATTATAGATTTAGAAAACATCATTTTTTAAACTTCTCTTTGTTTTAGAAGAACAAGTGGATGGTGAAACATTATTTTATATGAATGACATCAATTTATTAAAGCCATTTAAGTTATCTTATAAACATCAGATCATGTTTCTGAAAGAGAGAGAACAATTATTTTTATTAAAAACAAATCAAGAACAAGAAAAATCAGCATCATCATTAACATCCGATAATTCACCATTGTTAATTATTGATGAAAATGTCAGTGAGACGCTTGAAAGTGAAAATGAATCACGTCATTCACCAGAAAGTTTTTCAAGCAATACAACAACAACAGAAACAAAATCTTTAGAAGAAAAATCACTTCCAGATCCATATATATTACCATCTTTACCAAGTCAAGTAAATGATGCAATAAATCTTAAAAAAATAGATAAATTCGAAAAACTTTGTAATTTTCGTTCCATTGTTATTGATACAGTTTTTCATGATTTAAAAACCAATTATAACTTGTTGTAAGTAGAATTATCGAATTTAGTTGCATAATTGGTATTAGCGATTGATTATATTTTTTTTATTGACAGGTATCCGACAAGATCACAATATGCAAGTATCGTTCATGGTATATTAAAGCATTTGGGTATTGAACATGATCAGAAGAATGCTGTGAGTAAATATGAAAAAATTATTCTAAGATAAATGCAATTGTTATATATTATAGAATTCTTGGCGTGAGTCGTTAATCTCAAAGTACAAGCGAGAACGTCAAAATATTAATGATGATAGAATCGCACACATGAAAAATAAATATTCCCAAATCCAATCCGGAAGAAAGATCAAAGGATTTACAATGACGCAAATGTCAGAAAGAAAACCATTACAAACAGTAAGCTAAATTGAAATACTAGAAAAACGTATATATTTTATATTTAGATTAACAGTGGTGTAAATACTGATTTAGAACAAATGAAAGCAAAATCAGATATTATAAATAAAAATTTTTCAAATTGTTCGTTTGACGATCAAGCATTCAAGAGACTATGGATAGAAACGCATGAACATCGACAAAATTTTATTAAGCAACATACAACTGCAGATATTTTGCAAGAGTATCCTGTTTATTCAAATCCAACAATGGTAAGCATAAGTTTTTACATATCCGTTTTTAATTTGTTATTTTAGATTTTAGCTGATGTTAAAATATTAGCATGTGTTGATTTGGATTATTGTGTTAAAGAAAAAATGGATATACTTTCACGTAAAATTCTCTCTGGTAATCAATTTCCTACAGGTAACTTTTAAAAAAGCAATATTCTAACAACCACTGTTATTTTATTTTAGATAGTCCAGCTATTCGGTGTTTAAAAGTGTTGTGCAGTATATTGAACGATTCATGGAAACATTATATTTGCTTTTATCCTGAAGTAAGCTATATGTATACCTAGCTATCAACTCTTTTTAACTTTACTGAAATGAAAGTCATATATTCAATAAGTAACATTTTGACCTGTGGTCTAATTTCTTAGATATAAAATCCTTCGTCAATGAAATCGAAAAACAGACATATAATTATGTTTTATTTCTAGTTATTGAACATTTTTATAAATACTATGATTATTAACTGCATTTTCTGTAAACATTAAGATAAAAGCAAAAATGTTATAAAGTCAGTCGTGTATTGAACATATTGAAACGAAGTAGACATGTTGTATATAAATTTCTTCTGCTCTCCAAAATAATCCTCCAACTATATAATAATGAAATGGTCTTTTGCCCTTTTTTTCTATATATTCTGTCATTTAATTCATATCGACTACTATTATAATTTTATTTCAGAAACCATCCACTCCTCAACCAACTATAGTTATCCAAGATGATAACATAAATATTTATGTTGATTGGGAATTGATTTGTAGTTCACATTCAATTGAACAATCGTTTGCTGTACTTGTTGGATTATATCGTTTGTTAAATCTGAAATTTAATCCATATCGTTCTGCTATACGATTTTTGTACGTCTACTTCTTAAATGATAAACAACAACCATCAAATATTATTCGAAGATTTTGTAAAGAATATAACATTGAAATTCAAGAAAATCTTCCATCATTGGCTAATCAAAATGAAGAAGCAGCGGATAGTACTAATAATACATTCAGTTACGACGTACCAGAAGATATAACTGCTGATCAGGAAAAAGAAAACAAAAATACATCTGATCAACTTTCAACTCCAGCCTCAAATCCTCAACCGATTACAAATCAAAATAGTCGTAAAAGAAAACCCGCTCGATTAACTGATCCTTTAACTAATGATGAACAAAATACTCCACCAACAAAAAAAACCAGATTATCAAATCCAAAACGACGCTAACAATCATTCAGAAACAATATACATATCACCGTAGAAGTGTTTCGAAGGATGAGTTCCCGGGAAAAAATAATTGCATATTCGAAATCAGCATGGTCGATAACCCCCGTCGCCGTCGAGATCTCGAGAGGGTACCTCTGATCATAAGCAAAAAAAAATTTTCCAAAAATCAATGGATATTAACGCAACAGAACGAAAAAAAATATATGCTTCGCACTGGAATCGAACCAGTGTCACGTTCTCCACGCTATACAAGCCACTCGGCTACATGCGAAGTACTTCTCTCTTTTTTTTCTCACATACCGTTCTTCATTTTAAATTGATGATCAATCAACATGTTGATTGATCATCAATTTAAAATGAAGAACGGTATGTGAGAAAAAAAAGAGAGAAGTACTTCGCATGTAGCCGAGTGGCTTGTATAGCGTGGAGAACGTGACACTGGTTCGATTCCAGTGCGAAGCATATATTTTTTTTCGTTCTGTTGCGTTAATATCCATTGATTTTTGGAAAATTTTTTTTTGCTTATGATCAGAGGTACCCTCTCGAGATCTCGACGGCGACGGGGGTTATCGACCATGCTGATTTCGAATATGCAATTATTTTTTCCCGGGAACTCATCCTTCGAAACACTTCTACGGTGATATGAAAAGAAAAACAAAAACAAAAAGAAAACAAAACATTACTTCACATCTTTTTCTTTCTTGATAAATTTTACAGCATTATCGTTTTTCATTGTTTTTCTCGAAAAGATTCTAATTTCTTTTCTATTCTCAATCATCTTTCACAAAAAGGATTCACACAGAGACCTCCATTTTATTTCTCTTTCGCTCATACTACTCCAATAAACGTTTCACTTTATTTTCCTAAAAAACATTTTCCACACTCCTTTCGTTTAATAAATACAAAACCCGAACACTTCATCTAACTCAATATTTGTTCACTATTTCTCTTCAGACCTACACATCTATTAAGCTCCAAGTTCGGTAAGCAACCAATTCTAAATTACAACCACTTCAAAAAAGTTTTTTCTTCTTCAGACACTACATCTACAGTCCATCACTTATTCATAGTGCATTCATTTCGAAAAAACTCTATCCAACCATTTTCTTTCTATATTTAGATCTTCATCAATACCAATGTTAACCTTAAGGTAAATCCATTAATTTACTTTAATCTAATCTAATCATTCTCTTTCTATATTTAGATCCTCATCAATGCCAATTTTGACTTTCAGGTCAATAGATTCATTTTGTTTAATTTAATTTAATCATTTTCTTCCATATTTAGATACTGATCAATGTCAATTTTAACTTTCAGATACATAGATTCATTTTGTTTAATTTAATCTAATCATTTTCTTCCTATATTTAGATCTTCATCAATATCAATCTTAACTTTCACGTGAATCCATTGATTTAGTTTGATTTAATCTAATCATTTTCTACATATACTTAGATCCTCATCAATATCAATTTTAACTTTAAGAGAAATAGATTCATTTAGTTTAATTTAATCTAATAATTTTCTTTCTATATTTAGATCTTGACCAATGTCAATTTTAACTTTCAGGTGAATTCATTGATTTAGTTTAATTTAATCTAATCATTTTGTTTTTATATTTAGATCCTCATCAATATCAATTTTAAATTTCAGAGAAATAGATGCATTTAGTTTAATATAATCTAATCGTTTTCTTTCTATATTTAGATCTTCATCAATATCAATGTTAACTTTCAGGTGAATCCATTGATTTAGTTTGACTTAATCTAATCGTTTTCTTCTGATATTTAGATGTTCATCAATATCAATTTTAACTTTCAGATACATAGATTAATTTAGTTTAATTTAATCTAACAATTTTCTTTCTATATTTAGATCTTGATCAATGTGAATTTTAACTTTCAGGTGAATCCATTGATTTAGTTTCATTTTATCTAATCATTTTCTTTTTATATTTAGATCCTCATCAATATCAATTTTAAATTTCAGAGAAATAGATTTAGTTTAATCTAATCTAATCATTTTTTTCTATATTTAGATCTTGATCAATGTGAATTTTAACTTTTAGGCGAATCCATTGATTTAGTTTGATTTAATCTAATCATTTTCTTTTTATATATACATCCTCATCAATATCAATTTTGAATTTCAGAGAAATAGATTCATTTAGTTTAATATAATCTAATCGTTTTCTTTCTATATTTAGATCTTCATCAATATCAATTTTAACTTTCAGACAAATAGATTCATTTAGTTTAATTTAATCTAACAATTTTCTTTCTATATTTAGATCTTGATCAATGCGAATTTTAACTTTCAGGTGAATCCATTGATTTAGTTTGATTTAATCTAATCATTTTCTTTTTATATTTAGATCCTCATCAATATCAATTTTGAAATTTCAGAGAAATAGATTCATTTAGTTTAATCTAATCTAATCATTTTCTTTCTATATGTAGATCTTCATCAATATCAATGTTAACTTT